TAAAAAAAATGTTAAATGTTGTTTTTTGAAGAAACGTTTATATGTCACTTCGCAAGACTTGAATGCCCCGAAAAGGGACATGCCGATATTCTGACAATGTATCCCAAATGCTCTATTTACAACAATTGTATTTGTCACTATTTGTTATCCTTTGAATAATTTAACTTATCACCGAAATTGGGAAATTAACCGTGGTGAGTACAGAACAACTTGAACACTGTGCAACACACGTTTTATCTGTACTTACCTTCAGGTTTACTGTGGTGAGTACAAAACAACCCGAACACTGTGCAACACACGTTTTATCTGTACTTACCTTCAGGTTCACTGTGGTGAGTATAGAACAACTCGAACACTGTATAACAAACGTTTTATCTCTACTTACCTTCAGGTTCACTGTGGTGAGTACAGAACAACTCGAACACTGTATAACACACGTTTTATCTGTACTTACCTTCAGGTTCACTGTGGTGAGTACAAAACAACTCGAACACTGTACAACACACGTTTTATCTGTACTTACCTTCAGGTTCACTGTGGTGAGTACAGAACAACTCGAACATTGTATAACACACGTTTTATCTTTACTTACCTTCAGGTTCACTGTGGTGAGTACAGAACAACTCGAACACTGTATAACACAAGTTTTATCTTTACTTACCTCCAGGTTCACTGTGGTGAGTATAGAACAGCTAGATAACTGGACAAGTTTTATCTTTACTTACTTTCCATTATTGTTTTTCATTCGGTTTCTCGCCATATTCAAATTAAAGCCTCGTTTAATTTTCTTCTCCCTTATTGAAAATACAGTCGGTTTCTTTGAACACAAGTTTCATAGCTTGTTTCATTACAACGGTCAACGCAAGCAATGTATGTCCTCTAATGTTCCTTTACTTAGGGCATAACATGAGCTGGCGTTGTTGTGGCCGCTCGACTCGAAACATACGAGTTGCGGGATCTAAACCCGTCGTCGAACACATTAGTCCTCTCAGCCGTGGAGGCGTTATATTGTGACGGCCAATCCTAAGAGTTGAAAGTGGGTCGACTAGCTGCCTTCCCTCTCACCTGCCACTTCAAAATTATGGACGGCTTCAGTAGATAGCTTTCCAGTAGCCTTGGATGAAAATATAACAAAGAAACCTTTACTCCGGAAATTGCAAAGGTCGTGACCTTCCAAGAAGTGTTATCACCCTAAAGTGGAAATAAACTACCTGTATGCTTGACTTTTGACGCTAAAGCAGCCGTAACCTCAGAACAGCAAACACATCTCGGTCCATGACATTCAAATATTAAAATATGTGCATTTGTCTGTCGTTAAATAGAAAACTATGGGTTTCTACGATTCCTTCACTCAATTTTTTTATCTTTTATACATTTTTCGTTAGTATAAATCTTGTTCCACTAGAACACTTTTTCGCTTTCAATGTTAATGATGAACAATATCCTCTGCAATTATATATTGTCATATGATTTTTATGGGAATATTTATTGCAGTATATGTTATTTCTTTTCTACCTTTTTTGAGTGTTAAGATTGAACTCGGAGTTGTATAAGGTTTCGGGCTCTTTCTATTACCGCTCCCCGCGATCAGTTTTCTCCGCTTGATTGAAAACCGTTATTACGTACCGTGAACTGATTTTTAATACTTCTGTAGTATTTCTCTCGTATTTAAAAATATTAGGGTTTTGGAGGTTCCCAGAATTGTTAAAACAGATGTCGTACACTTCAATGTCTCCTTTCATTTGAAAATAAACTAGTAAACTGTGATCAACATTAACAGTTTTATGACTTACAACATGGACAGTAATATTTAATCAATATACATATGTTCTACTTTGATCATTTATCAATTGGAAAAGGCGCGTTTGTCGTGTTTCTTGTCATACAGCAGATTATCTAAAAATTTGTATTTTGTTTACAAGGATTTAACGTCATAGATGTATATCATTACTTTGGGGATGTTCTGTCTGATATGGAAATCCCTGAAACACTTCAGGAAACCGTGGTTGCCACGGTGACCCTCGTGGCCCGCTCGACCAACAAACATTGATTTCCTGTAGCCTTACATCCCGTCGAATTACGAGTTTGTTAAGGGTACTACTATTCATTGGTCCCACGGTTATATTGAGGAGGGGGTTTGATGGGCGGACTAGTCTCGAGTGGGAGAGGGACCGATATTTTTGTCACATGATATGAATATTCTGTGTTTACGCGCACAAGTTGACAGTAACAACAACATGCAAGTTTTGTTGTTGTTTTTTAAGGCGAAAAGCTACACAATGGACTATTTGTGTTATGTCCAACGCGGGAATTTCGAACCCGTAAACTTACTGCTGACCGACTGATAACATTTGACCTTTTTTTTTTGACCCATAGGTAAATTATTATCAGGACAAATTCGAGCACTTAAGAATTTTCATGTTAATACCCATTATGAGCATCTGAGAATTACTTATAAACTTACAGCAATACCAAAAGGATATCTTAGATATTAAGTAGAAAACGTCCCTAAGAATGTAATGTAAACGAACTTAGCTGTCGTGTATTTTGTGCTTTACAGCTTGATTATAAGTTGCAACTGCCTCCCCATCTCTTCACAGAAAATGTATTGTTTAACTAGCTGGAGTACCTATTCCCCTGGACGGAAGTTATGTAAATTCGTGATTAATGAAAGGTTGTCTTATTACATGAAAAGTTACTTCCCTTATATGTAATTGTAAAAAACGCCCATAAAAACTGCAAAATGTGAAACCGCAAATTTGCTTGTATCTCCCCATGGATTCAAGAAACATTCATGCCAAATTTGGTGAAGATCTATCTATAGGGGGTGAAGTAGTGATAAAAAACGTAAAACTCCCATAAAAACCGCAATACTGAAAATTTCTCATGGACCCAATGAAATTCTATACTAAATTTGGTGAAGATCCATCTATAGGGGGTGAAGTAGTGGTAAAAAACGTAAAAACTCCCATAAAAACCGCAATACTGAAAATTTCTCATGGACCCAATGAAATTCTATACTAAATTTGGTGAAGATCTATCTGTGGGGGAGCGAAGCAGTGGTAAAAAACGCGCATAAAACCGCAAAATGGAAAGCTAAAAATTTGTATGTATCTCCCCATGGATCTAATGAACCTCCATACCAATTATGGTGAAGATCCATCCACACCTGCGAATTAGTTACATGGATAGACAACAGACAGTACTATTATTTTTATATAGATTAGACTTGGCTATAAGTATTTTGTAGTTTTAGCGCCATCTATGAGCGATTAATTAAACAAACTTTCCCACATATTTTGTTGTAGTTATTACAATTTCCATAATGACGCCATATCTATCCATAAACGTTTTTCGATGTGAAAAGAGATATTTGGAACTACTATTATACGATATCTTTTCTGTAGTGTATTATGTATGCAACAGTTTAAGGCATTCGTTATTTTATTTATTTTTTCCCCCTAGTGGTACAGCGATAAGTCTGCAGGCTCACACCGCCATAAACCTGATTTTGATACACTTGATGGACACAGCACAGATAGTCCATTGTGTAATTTTGTTCTTGATAACAAACAAACAACACACATTATCATTAGAAAAACATTAAAATAGGGCATTTCTGTTAACACACAAGTAAATACATCAAGGAGCCAAACAGAAACAACTGGCTTCATATATAATCAAGTTTGAATATATTATTTTGTTTTATTAAAGATTCGCGTATAAATAATAATTACAATATTTTTGGCCATTTTTCAAAATACAATACATTCCAGTAATAAATATGAAGACAAGAGTCTACAGTATTGCGCTAAATATGCTTTACTTCATCTTCTCCAGTGGAATCGTAAGATGTTTTAAATTGCAGTTCATGTTGACATTACCTTAGACTATGTTACTCTTGAGACATCAGCACTCTGTGTGGTTTTGGTTAAATATACATATGTCAACCAGAATTCTTTCTACAATTTCACTTTGGAAGTCTAATATACTTTTCCTTGAAGACGTTACGTCTGGAAAAAAAACAAAAAAAACTGTGTGGATGGATGCCTCTTATGTACACTTTTTCAATGAACAAGTAGAATAGCATGTAATTTACTAACCATTTTTTCTTTGACAATCAATTTTACATCTCAAGATGAATCACCTGCAACTTTGTGAAGATAGAAAGTATATGGACAATTTAAAGTTATTTTGGCTATAGGAGCTACCCCAAACATCGAGAAACTTGACAAAAACGATTTGTACCATTTTTTAGTGAAAAGGGTACAAAAATTAATAGGGAACCATTCAAAGAAAGCTTGGATTAATAGAAATTAATTAAACCCCTTTTCACTATTAGCGTTATTTTTTGAAACAAATGACAAAAACCTGGAAAGTTTTGAAATGTACATTTATACGTAGTGTCTTTTGAAGCTTATCAAAAGGAAACGGAATTGACTTTTTTCCCGTTGTCAAATAGTTATGTATGTTCTTTTAGTTGTCTTTTACTGACCACAGTGAAAATTTATTGATATAAGCTTTGAAGAATATGTAGCTCTGATGTTATTAACCTATTCTTCTGAATTACTCACCATAAAAGCTGTTTAGAATACTAGAAATAAATATTAAACTCAATCTACCTTTTGATTCACCACTTGTCACTGATTATACTGCTTTTGGGTAAATCTACCTCTCGACAATGGCAAATCGAAAAAAATAAGATTAGGCTTGTTATAATGGTGGATTGTATATTATATGTATGGTGTTTTTAGTAGTACTTTATTCACTACAGTGAACGTATGAATAGTCTTATTATTTGTAAATATTTTGTGTAGAAAAGAAATTGGTTCTCAGTGCTATCTAACTGTAGAACGTTAAACATGTGAATTCAAAACAGTTTTAGTATTTGCAATTCTTGTACCCACTCTTATAGAAGAGAAAGAAATTCGCTTATTCTTAGAATGATAATTTTCAATGTATTTTTACTTGTTAAACATTTTCTCGTGACACGTTTTCAGAATGTTTCGTCCAGACGGAGGCACAACCTTCAGTGACAAAACTACAACGTACTTTGATACCGTACCTCCACCTGTCGCCCAACAAGCTCAGCACTATCTGGAAGAGAACATCAAAGCATGGATTAGACCAAAGCAAAGCCAGGTTAGTTGACAATGAAGTAATTGTGTAACTAACTGATAGTAGTATTTTGTATGTTATGTGATGTTATGATGACACCTTACTAAGTGATGTTTAGTTTTTTTATGTTAAATATTAATCTGAAAAGGATTATATTGTTTAATTCTTGTATTTCATATTATCTTACGAGACATTCATGCTGAATACATTTGTGCTATATAAGACACCAGCAGTTAGTAGAATACTACCAGAGGCCAAATTATTATATTTACTGCAATAGTACTTTTTTAAAAACAGGGTTTCTAGAATCATACAAAAAATTATAATCGCAGACACCGAAATCTACAAGTCCACTTATGTTAGGCCTATCATTAGTTAAGCCTTTATTACGTACAGCCTGTGTTCCATAAAAAGATAAATTGACACTGTAATTTGTGTACTTTTTTTGCTATAGTTAGGTATAAACTTTACTGTACTTAAAACTATAGTAACTAAACTTATAATGTTATTCTACGACCTAGTGTTAGACCGTTTTAAAAACTTTAAGCTTTAATATGTTGTAAAAATGTCTTAAAGTATAGTAAGGTGCGCGCGCATTTTCAGGACAGACAAAAACTGAATATTATTATAATAGATGTGTTTGTTAGCTATTAGTATCGGCTTGTATGTATTAAAACAAGTTCTCAGAAGGTTCTTAATAAAACTTTAATCATGAAATTATGTAACAAGGAAATCTGTCGTTTAATTTGAAGTTTATATTCAACATTAGTAAATTTCAGTTGAGTTTTGAACCTGAACATTAACATAAGGAAATCATATAAGCTTTAATAATAAAGTACTGTCAATTCACGCGGACTGATATGTGCATGTAACTAAGTAATTACTGTCAATTCACGCGGACTGATATGTACATGTTACTAAGTAACTACTGTCAATTCACGCGGACTGATATGTGCATGTAACTAAGTAACTACTGTCAATTCACGCGGACTGATATGTGCATGTAACTACTGTCAATTCACGCGGACTAATATGTGCATGTAACTAAGTAACTACTGCCAATTCACGCGGACTGATATGTGCATGAAACTAAGTAACTACTGTCAATTCTAGAATATGAATACATTGTTAGATTGTTGAGTTAAATACTAATTCGTTCTTTACCATTAAAACTTGTGTACTTGAGAATGATCGCATCAGTGATCGAAACGTTGTACCTGATCTAAAAACAAATCTTGTAATAAGTTTCAGTTTGTTTGTTTTTCATCAACTAAATTAACAATTATGTGTTGTTTTCAAAACAGCAAACAAAAAAGGGAAAGACTGAATGGTTTCATTAGCACGTAATACTGCAAAATGCAAGTCATGTAATATTCGATCGTTTCTGTCTAGGATATGTTCCGTCAATCTGTCCGTCACTGGGAAACATATTTTGTCGATATATAATTGCCCGTGCTGGACACGTTCGTCGGCAGAAAGTTGATTCCACACTTCCCGAGATGTGATTCAAGAGCTCTTCCAAGCGTGTGCTAATCTGATATCGAGTTGTTGTTTTTTACCACTTGTTTTTTTTATTCCGACTTAATCCATAACTTAACTAACAAATTTCCCCTAAGATAGTATACCGCTAAGACCAATCATATCTGCAAGCGACACACCATGTGAAACTTTTCATATATTTTATAAATAGTATTAAGTCACTTTCTACACTCAAAACATGTACTTTAGTCCGTGATTTGTTTGAAGGATAATTTACTCTGAGGGAGAGAAAATTTGCTGTTACATCTCTATACACCAACAGATACGGCGGATAAAGGGATCAAAGAAATTATTTGCTGTTACTTCTCTATACACCAACAGATCGGCGGATAAAGGAATCAGAGAAATTATTTGCTGTTACATCTCTATACACCAACAGATCGGCGGATAAATGGATCAGAGAAATTATTTGCTGTTACATCTCTATACACCAACAGATCGGCGGATAAAGGGATCAGATAAATTATTTGCTGTTACATCTCTATACACCAACAGATCGGCGGATAAAGGGATCAGATAAATTATTTGCTGTTACATCTCTATACACCAACAGATCGGCGGATAAAGGGATCAAAGAAATTATTGCATCAGCTCAAATTCCATAACCTTGGAATCACAACTTTTGGCCTAACTTTAATAGACACTGAAAAGATGTAAATATTTACCTTTTCAGACACTGTCTCTCTACTTTCAATGATAAGTTCGCATAATTTCAATTTGGCAAACCCTTCCTTTAACAGTGGCTAAAGTAGTTATTATATGCAATCGGGTTACTTCATTTGACATAACTTTTATGCATAATTTCAATTTGGCGAACCTTTCCTTTTACAGTGGATAAAGTAGTTGTTATATGCAATCGGGTTACTTCATTTGACATAACTTTTATGCCCTCCCCAGAAACAGAATTTCTTTCTCAGTATCATTAAACTCTGATTGTTATGAAAAAAAGTGTGGATGACATTTCAGGATTTTGGCATAAGGGGTAAAGGTGCTCGAGAATGCGAGTTTTTGAATGGCTTTTTTTTTCTGTGTCATTTTCTTAAAATATGACCTTCCTGCCAAACCTTGCAAATAGTAGAGTAAACTTAAATATCATTCTTCACACCTAGCTACAGCTAAGGAGTCTGTTGCTATATCCCAAATGTTCCAGTATTTCTAATACCACAAATTAACCAGTCAGAGTGAAACAAATCTCAAGACAGCTAACAGACAACGGTTACACGACTGGGATTAAGAAGATCGAAAATCTTAAGCGAAAAATCCCAATTAAACGTGGCTCTGATGTATCCTTTCATCTAATGCCATTTATAAATGAAAATTTCATGATTAATTCTAGCGTTTTTATAGATTTTTTAATGTTTTTCTTATTTATTTATATAGTTTTTCAGTTTTGTCTGAAACAATCTTTCAAGTCCTTTTTCGGGGATTCCATTAATGTATTCCCTCAGGCAGAAGATTGTCTACAATTTGTAAATCCCTTCGCCTTGCCCCTGGCATTTTTGTGGCCCTGACTTGTTTCAATTTCAGATGACGCTTAAAATTTACTGTACCTGGCGTGCCTACATTCAGGTTATTTTACTGCAACGTTCCTATATTCGGTGACTATAAAACATAGAAGCTGCAAAATTTAAGTGTTTCAAACAAACATATTTAATTAAGGTATGCTTACCTTGTCTTAAATCCCCAGAATTAATCCCACAGGCGCAGAATTCTCACTAGCTTTGTCTTCTTTACATTGTACTGAAGGAAATATTTCAAATAAAGATAATTTTATGGACATTTAACCATAAAACTACGATTGCCAGCGTAATATAATTTGAGTTATCTATTCTACAGCTACCAGGTGATTGATTGATATACCGTGATGTATCTTGTCATCAACAACTTAGTGTGTTGGGTTCCAAACACAGGCGGATTGGGACCCCAAAACAGCCCTAGTAAAGTTGTACATCAGCCTCTTAGAGGTTTATGTGTTGCGGAGAGGGGAAATGTCAGGCCTCCTACCCCGACAAGATATGACATTTAAAGATTCAAAATCAATATTTTTTGGTTTTGACGCACTTCTTGCAGTGAGCCTATGCGCTTGATTATAGCATTGCCTTTGTTAATATTATATAATTACTGTAATTATTTCTTTGTTTTATTTTGTGCAAGTACACCATAATAACTGTGTAACTTACGAAGAATTAAAACGATTGTTCTTTTCACAGTATAACACGGTTCTCAGCTACTTTGTCAAGAATTTGTTTCGCACTGCTTTTCATCCCCACCTTTGCGCTTTTTTTATCCATAATTTTATTAACGATAGTAAATTGAAAACTAAAATACTCAAATAATTATATTGGTAATTAAGTAAATATTCCACAATAACTACGTCATCGCACAGGCCTCAGGCGGGCAACATTAAGAAGAAACAGAGAAGCCGTTATTCGTTATTTTGTGATACTAGTGATTTCAAAACACGGACTAAATAGTTGCACGGTGTCACAAAAGAATGTTAGTCTTGAAATTTATCGTGCAAGACTGGGGGAGCGCCAGAGGATTATTGATAAAGCAGTTTATGGGTGGAGGGGGACGAAACAGTCGTCAATGCCGTCTCAAATTTATTTTTACTGTCGTGATTCCACAGTTACCTGTAGTAAAATATTACACTCCCTAAAGTCTGCTCAACAATGTTAATAAATGTTCCTTTGACATTTTTATACTTTCTTTGTTTTTTGGAATTCGATAGGCGAATCAACGGTTGAAGCTTATCGTGTTTGGGTAATTTCAGTGCCCCTGATATATAATGTTTACATTATTTCTAAGCATAGATCGCATGTACTAATTATGTATTATCAAAACACATGAAAGACATGATGTTTCAATACATGAATTATTATTTGATGAGATAGCTAATTTCTGTGTTTTCTTTGTGCTAATGATATTGAGTAGTTCAAGAAATGTCAAAATAAAAAAGATGAACCAGTTGTGCTATCGCTTGGATAGAGACCTTGCGAAGAATCATCACGTTGTAAAGAGTAATTAGATGGGGACAAAGAAAGTTTAACTGCCTTTCATTTTGTCCCCTGGGTTAATATTACGATTTGCGCAGTCGTGTGTTAAGCTTGCCGTAAAAATATACGTCTGCCTATTATGGTTGTCATAGGTTATTCATCAGAGCAGAAAATTTTATTCGGCTCTACTGTCACTTTGTCGAACAAATGTCCTACTAAACTCCTGGTCTTAGAAAAGAACAACGACTTGCCTTCGCCCTAGGCCCACGCGAATAGAGCTTTCAGCGGCCACGTGCCGAGATATCGTCCGCATAGCAGCTGGCATTAGCATGGAAATAGCACGTGAAAGGTTGTCGATTCAAAATGGTGGTTTACTGCTCTGGACTCTTCAGACCAGAGGGATGAATGTGAACATTTGAAAGGTAGACCGCCCCTTCATGTTCCTGGTGTTGACATTATTATTATAACCAAAGGCTCTTTATTCACTCCTGTCAGTATAAAGGTTTAGCTAGTACATCAGCTGTAAAGAACAGAAAAATGAATTTGATCCAAGAGTTATTATATCCTTTGTGTAATAAGCGCTGTTTGAAAACTGATAACATTCACCAAGTTTTGCCTCACGTTACATGCTTCTTTTGTATATTTTCATATTGAAAACAGCGTATCTGTCTGTGAAGAAAATTTCCCAACAACCCACCCTCTGATCGCCAAGAAACAATTGGGCAGTTTTTGGGTAAGCATCAGAGGGATTCTGAAAAAAACAAAACAACCTTGCATTATTCATTATAGGAATTTATCAGTATTTTGAATTTTCCTCATTGATACTTCGCTACAAATACTTGTTAAATAATATAGTGAAAATATTTACGCTGATACCTTCAAGAAGCTAGCCAGTAATCGAGAAAAAAACGTTCAAGAATGACACACATGCACGCCGTCCTCGTGAAGCATACAAAATCAATGCCGCACATAGCGCGAAAACATTTGCTAACATGAAATAAGTTATTTAAATTGTCTATCATATACAAGCACATTAGTTTGTTTACTTGGAGGTTTCTAATATAAGCTAAGAAGTGTTTTCATTAATGAATGTGTGTGTGATGTTTGTTTGACACATACACTGTAAACATTTTGTAAAGAAAAAAGTTACTTTTTAACAAAGGAGACACCCAATCACATTACGATCCACATATGATTTAAATATAAGTTGTTTTTATGTACTCGTATACACCTATTTACGTTTTCTATAATTATTCGAAATAGTTCTTTCAGTTTTGACCATGACCCTTATTGCTAACGTTTTTCTATAATTTATTATATATTTCCCAATACTTTCTATTTCTCTTTTGCAATAACTTCTACAAAAGGCAGATGGACAAACCTACAAGGTGAAAACATTTCGTAAAGGTCTAACGAAAAATAATTGATCAGCAAACAGAGACCTGAGGAATTAGAATTTAATAGTTTCAATATCTGTCATCAACTGGAATATATTTATTATAACACCAGTTTTATATATATGTTCTCATATTTATTTTTCAGCAAACTCTTCCGGTTGCCAGAGAGAATGGCCACACAACGTATATTCAACAACTGACTGCCTCGGTAGTTCCAGATCTTGCAGTGTCAGAAGCAACGATGATAGCATGTGCTAGGCCCAATCACAGTCGTACCCAGATCAATAACGATCGCGTGCACTCGTCACAGAACTACCCCCCTCCCATGAGTCCAGTATGTCCAGTGGTTAATGTGGGATCTGAAGGGTGCGAACTAATGGCCCAGAGTAGTTTCTTACCTTACTCTCTGCCGTACAGCGGCTTCACGCAACCCCCACGTTTGCAGGTTGCATCTTATGGCTCTCCCCTGAGAATAATGTCTGGAATGACACAGCCTTCAGCTGCAGCCTCCTTTTTTGCAAGGTAAGTGTTTCTCATTTCCATTTTTCACTTTCAGACATAACAGTGAACTTACTACCTCTAAAATTGTCTAACTTTTTAGCTTTACAATTAATCATTTCAAAATAATATTCTCTAGAAATTTACATAGTTTTTTTTTTTTTGCTTTTTTCAATGATACTTTTAATAAATATTTTTCCTTAATGAGAGATGTTTATTCTTGGTTTTGAATAAATGAAGGATTCTGTAACAGTCTCCCGGTGGGACAGCGGTAAGTCTACGGATTTACAACGCTAGAATCAGGGATTCGATTCCCCTCGGTGGACACAGTAGATAGCCCAATGTAGCTTTGTTATAACAAAATACACATACAGACTCTGTAACAGAAGAAAACTCGGCCACTATTCTTGACAGGCTCTATTTAAGTGATTCTATAGCATGTACCTAATACTTTAGGAGAGTTAAGAACCGTAGAAAACTCCTCAGTAAATTATACCTCTTTTACAAGTTGTCTTCGTAGTTTTAGAATGGATTAAGACTATTTATAACTTCCCGGACTTGAAGTTCAATGATGTTTATTCTGTCTTTCTCTCTTAAACGTCTTGAGTAGAGACCATCATTAATTGTAGATGTTTTTTACATTGTTTCCACTACAATCGTGGTGTTTTTTAACAACACATTCAAACAAAGGTTTTAAGGTATTTGTTTTCTTAAAAGCAAATCATATGTTTTATTTATTTGTATATAGCTGTATTTTTTGTATAAATATTCATAAGACTATACAAGAAATTGTAAGCCCAGCAGTGCCCTACCATGGAAAAGTAGAAATTTTGATTAGTTAAATAGCTGATTACAGTAGGTTATTATGTTGCTAACCTTCGTAAGTGGCCCGGCATGGCCAGGTGGTTAGGGCGCTCGACTAGCAATCTGAGGGTCGCGGGTTCGAATCTCCGTC